TGTACACATCCACTTAGCTGCATTTTCTTGTACTGAAACTTGTAGATCTGTCTTTTTTTGAGTTACACTTAAATTTTTCTAGGAATTCATTTTAGTGTGTCAAAACTGTTGCTGCTAAAGGCCTTCTCTACCATTGTAGTCATCTTCAACTTCCTCAACTTGTGACTGTGTTGTCTGGGGGGATGTCTGTGTTTTGTTTTGGGTGTTCTGGGCTTTTTTTGGTGGTGGTTGTGTTTTTTTAGTTATTTTTTAGGGGGGAGGGTGGTGGTTTGTTTTGGGTTTTTTTGTTAAGAGCTGCCTGTGTTTTTAGGTGGAGTGGCAGTTTGCTGTCAGTGGGTAAAAATGCCGTAATTTTTCAAAGCTCTACTTAAATGCTGACAAGGGATTGCCGATTGCCTTGCTGTGATTTTTAAATGCTGTCAATTTAGTTACTGTTAACAGCAGAACATTAATGACTTGTAATAATCCTTCAGGTTGACAGATGTGATCCAGAGCGCTTACTCATGTAGAGGAGGGAGAAGGTGGGGTTTGTTTGCAAGCTGCTAGAAGGGCAGTAACTTCCATATGTCATACTTGTCCCAAAGAGCTTTATATGTAACTTCAGGCACAGAAGGGAGTTTGGCTTGTAGAATAGATTAGTTTGCTGAGAGGTGCTGTTTCTGACTGCTCCTCTGTTGGTTTCTTCACATACAAAGCCCTGGTCTTGCCACAGTTTATGGCAGTTGCATGCTCCAGGTCCTGCTTCCAGGCAAGAAAACAGCACAGAGGGTTGTAGGTCAGCTTAATACTAGCTCTTTGTGGTCTTTCAGCCATTGGCATCTTTGAACTTACCAAAAAAGTTACTGCATCAAATGAAAGTATTTGTGGTTGATTGGTGTGGGGTTTTTTTTTTGGTCACGTGGACGGGTTTTTGGTTTTGTATGTGAGTGGTCAATACTTACAGCAATTTAGGAAACCTACTCACAGACTGCAACGCGTATTTGCATTCACAGCTGGAATTGTGTTGAGAGTGAGTCATCATTCTGCTTTACCCAACCTGTGAATTGAGGATTTCAGCCTTCAGTCAACAGGGCTTTCCTCCGATGCTGTTTGTTCTTCAGCTTGGTTCTGAAAGCTGGTGCTGGTTTTTGTTTGTTTGGTTTGTTGGTTTTTTTTAAAGTGCTATCCTAATAAAAATGATCAGAGTAAAACAGTTGATGCACTTGGTATTGGTATGTTTTTCTCTAGTGATCAGCTACCTAACTTTTGCATTTGGGGAACATTAGTGTCTTCAAGGAGTAGTTTTTAGTTTGAAAGATGAAGATTTTTGTGCAGGGTTTGGTTTTTTGGTTTTTTTGGGGGGGTGTGTGTGTGTTTTTTTGAGGAAACGAGTTTTGTGGAATTTACTCAAACAGAATAATGTTAGAGATTGTATGAAGTGTAAATATTTGCAGGTCTTACATGCTCTGTGGCAAAATACTGTTTCTGTTGTGTTAACTCTTCTCTCAAATGAGTACTGACTTTTAACTAAATCTTTACTGTATCTAAAGCATTTAAAGAGATTCTCTGTACTATTTGCTAGTTTTAAGCAGAACAGTTTCCCTTCCCTAATTGAAAATTAGGTGTTCATGCAGAATCTGTTCAGGAGAGAGACTTTCTGCTTTTTGGTGCTATGGAAGAATTTAGTGAATGATTTTTTTTTTTTTTTTTGAGCATTGTTCAGATGACCTCACTTAAATGTCTGGGATTTTGTTCCTTTTAGTGTCCAGATATTTTAGGTACAGTTAAAGCCAGCTCTTCAGCAAGGAGAGGTATGTAAGTAGAATGAAACTTGTTACAGAGGATGAACTGATTATAACAGAGTGGTGTTCTGGTAAGAGTTATGATTCTTAGGTTATGATTCCAATTTGATTTTGGAAACAAAAACTATTAAGCTGTACTTTGAGTGTAGTGTTGTGACAACTGTTGATTGGAATAAGCTTTGCTAGTGTGAAGGGGGCAAGACATTCTCTCACAGCTCGGCGACTGGCTCTCTTGAATGCACTGCAAGAGAAAAATACCGCTGTGACAGGTGCCTGCATGAGGAATTCCCTTCCTCCCTTCTTCTGCCCCTGTACTGTTACAGTGCTAAGTGGGAATTCTGTCCTCTGTCTGCTACTGTCTGGTTGCACAGCCTCGTAAAACAGGGACTGCAAAGTGCAAGGCACTTACTTGCCTGCTAAGAGTTGCAGCAGAATCTGCAAGGCAGCCTGCCTGCTACCACTGACCATTTGTGAAGGCCAGAGGGACAGGTCCAGAGCGTCTTGCTCGGGTGGTGACTTGAGAATTTCTGAGTTGGTGACTGGATTTGCGTGGAAGAAAACGTTACGTGGATAATGTTTTGGAGAGGGGGTAGAGGGTAGGCATAAACATGTTCTTCATTCAGGGATGTGTTGTGCGTTGCTGACAAAGATGGAAAAGCTTTGAGGAAGCCAGTCATTTAAAATGTTGGCGGTACCTCAGTACTCGGAGCTCCTTACAATTAAAAGCATCTGTGATTCATACTGTTCAGCGCGTCATTTCAGCTCTGAAAAGCAAGCTCTTATTTAAAATTTCAATTAGAGTACTAATTTCATTTGAATTTTGAGAGGAAGAGTCAGTTTTCAGCCTACCTTATCTGAAAATCCAAAGCTGTTGAACTACAGAATACAGGTAAAACAATTGTCTACACATTAACTGTTAGAAACGGAAAAAATAAAGATACAGTGTACAGGTTGGCATGAACAGATCAAGTCATCCGGGCGGCAGAGTAGCAAATTTATCTAAACCAGTGTTGAATATAACTCACTGGTATTCACTATAAGTCATGGCATATTCTTAGTTCTTGTTTTAGTGTCTACATTGGAATTCAGCAGACAGATTTTTAAATCTTTTGTTTCATCTAAAAGTTTTGTTCAGACTCACATGCATGTCCAGAAATCATCTAATATAGTCTTTGTTTTTCTTCTCATCTGTAAAAATGAAAATTACTTTTAAATAATGCAATTTTAAGAATCCTAAACGAAAAAAAAAAAATGAAAAACTTGGTTTTATTTTGTGTATCTTGGGATTCCAGACTTAATCTCCTCTCATTACAGCTTGGATAAATAACTTTTAGAATTAAAATACTTAGTAATAGATGTGTTAGCTGTGCAAACCCTTAATTCTAATACATATCTAATTTGTTTTCAAGTACTGTGAATTATACTGTCATTGTAGAAAATAGTACCATACGTATCTGAATAAAAATTTCCAGGAGAAAAGCTCCCCGTCCCTGTTTGCCGGCTCAGGGGGCTGGGTACCCCAAGAACAATTGACTATACTATATATATGACTATACTATGACATAAGTTAAATTTTTTTACAGTATCTATTTCTGTTCCGTGCTATAAATATGAAATGACTATAACCATAAACTTAATTAATGTGGGCTGCCATGATGCTTTATAAAGCATAGTTGTCTTACTGTTATTGTCAGTTGACACTTGATTTGCTACATGGGTTCTTACTATAAACATTTCTGTGTAGTAACCATATATTCAGATTCTTAGCTCTGAAGTGTTATGTTTTATCTTGGAGGGGGAAGACTCTTGCTGTCATACCAGCAAAAATGCATTATCTAGATGAAGTAGAAGAGACTAAAAGAAAGAGCAAGCTTACCAGCACTGCTTAAAAGGAACCCAAACCTTCTTATCTGAAGGTAGAATGCAGTATATACTTTATTCTGGCAATGCTTTATTGCATGACTTAAAATTATGCAAGGCTTTAACTCTTTTCCCTGGGGTGCTGATTGAGAACAGGATCTATTTTTCTTTCTTCCTAATTTATGCAGTTTTTTAGTATTTCAACTAACATGTATCTAGAGTTCAAAACACTGCATAAGATGTGGGAGGAGGGTTGGTGGGGTTTTCGTGTTTTTTAATCAATGGAGTAATGAATGATTATGGTTATGTCGGGTTTGGGTGGGGGTTTTTTTGAGAGAAATGTCTCTAAGGGCCAAATTTTAGGTAAAGAAAACAACAAAGAAGGAAGCTAGGGTGAAATCATTAGTTTTCTTTTGTATATCCTGCTTTGTATTACCTGGATACTGAGATGGATGAAAATTTTTAAGTCAACACGGGCTGATTCTTTTGTTGTTGTTGTTGTTTAAATCAAGACTGATCTTACTTTTGATCTTAGGCAACTTTAATCCTGGATTGTGTTTGTAGTTTTTAATGACTATACACTTCTCTAATCAAAGTTTCCCTTGAAGTAAAAATTGAAGTTTCCCTTTCTTGCTGCAAACTATTTTTCTTCATTGCTTAAAGGCCTTGATCAAAAATTGGACACTGACAATGTTGATATGTAACTGTGAAACATCTTTTACTATCATCTCGTATCCTGTGAAGAAAATAGAGCATTTCAAGCAACACAGGAGATAATGTAGTTTCGTGAAAATGTGAGAATGAGCAGGATACTGCTACCGTCAATTCAGCAAGCCGGAGTTACTCTAATAGTTAAATTCTTCTGTGATTTCTAACGGGATTTGTGTGGGGTGTCTTGTTCGTTTGTTTTATCTAGGTGACTCTGGCTCAGAGGGGTCATTTTTTTTGTCTTTTTTTGTTGTAAAACCTCAAGTAAAGAAGAGTGGTTTCTTAATAATTACTTTTTTAATGTATAGAGTCCCATATAAATGATGTCTTTGCTTGACTGTGAAGTTTAACAGTAGCTATCCGATGGTAGAATTCTTTCAAATATGTTGTTAAAATGTACCAGAGAACTTCTATGTAAATAGTAATTGTAGTAATGAATCTTGTTATGTTTTGTGTTGCTTCTATGGGTAAACAAAAAGGCTTTTTATTATGGGATGATTGTGTTTAGACTTTGCATTTACTGGTCTTAACGCAACATCAGGAGATAATAGTTTTATTGAATGCTGTCAGGTATTTCTGTTGTTGATTTATCGTAATAGTTCTTAACAAAGTTCTAAATTTTTTTTTTTTTTCCCCCCCCTCGCCAGACCTTAATTTACTTTGGATTAGGATTCCCATGGCCTGTGAATTAGAAGATAATTTGAAATAGAAGGTCTCTTTATTTTGAAGTGACAGTCTTTATCAAAATGGTTGGAAAACTCAAACAGAACTTGCTATTGGCATGTCTGGTGATCAGTTCAGTGACAGTGTTTTATTTGGGCCAACATGCTATGGAGTGTCACCATCGAATAGAAGAACGCAGCCAGCCTGTGAGGATGGAAAGCGTGAGAAGCACAATAAGAACTGCTTCCAATGTAAATGCAAACAAAACCTTTGCTTACAACAAAGACATGCCTTTAATATTTATTGGAGGAGTACCTCGAAGTGGCACTACCTTAATGCGTGCCATGCTTGATGCCCATCCGGATATTCGATGTGGAGAAGAGACAAGGGTAATCCCGCGAATTCTGGCAGTTAAGCAGATGTGGGCTAGATCAAGCAAAGAGAAGATCCGACTGGATGAAGCTGGAGTCACAGATGAGGTTCTGGACTCAGCCATGCAAGCATTTTTATTGGAAATCATTGTGAAACATGGAGAGCCTGCTCCATATTTGTGTAACAAAGATCCTTTTGCTTTAAAATCCTTAACTTATCTTGCTAGAATTTTCCCCAATGCCAAATTTCTTCTAATGGTACGGGATGGTCGTGCATCTGTGCATTCCATGATATCTAGAAAAGTCACAATAGCTGGGTTTGACCTTAACAGCTACAGGGACTGCTTGACCAAGTGGAATCGTGCTATAGAAACTATGTATAACCAGTGTATGGAGGTTGGTTTTGAAAGGTGTATGCTGGTACATTACGAACAACTCGTATTGCATCCTGAAAGATGGATGAGAACTCTCTTACAGTTTCTTCGCATACCATGGAACCAAGCAGTGCTGCACCATGAAGAAATGATTGGAAAAGCAGGGGGTGTTTCTCTTTCAAAGTGAGTATGAGCATTGCTCCTTTATCTTGTGTTGTTCTAAGAGGTAAAATAGTACATTTTGCATATAAAAGACTAGTCATAACTTGGTTTCAGTTTTTAAGTAGTTAATGATGTCTCAGGAAGCTGATTTATGATGCAGATTGTCTGATGCAGATTTTTGCTGATTTATGATGCAGATTGTCTGGAAAGTAAGAATGACTGTTAACTAACAATTTTCAATCTCAGATTGTTCCTGCTAAACAATTGTCCTGCTAATATATGTGTATGGAGCATATGAACGAACTTTTAATCAATGGTCAGTCTAATTTGAATTTGGATGTCCAGTATCAGCCTTTCTTCTAATATAGCTTTGCTTTTCCCTGTGCCCCAAAATAAAGCTGGACTGTTTTATCTAGACTAGTGTTATTCATCCTAGCAAGATCACCCGTTTGATTTCAGGAACTTAAGTATTGTTGTCAATGCAAGAATGGCCTTTGAGTTATATTTGCCAAGAACATACTCTTCCAGGAAACTCGAGAAACTGTTCCAACAAAATAGAAAGCAGAATTGGCGTGCTTTTCTGTTGGCATGTGCTCCTAAAAGGACAAGGATTTTGAATAAAATTAACCTTCTTGTAAGCAAATCTCTCAGCATTCTGTCAATGCCATCTGTGCACCTGACTTAGCTACTTTCAGAAACCGAAATCCAGCTCCGTTTAGAAAACCTAGATAGGTATTGTGAAAGAAAAAAAAAAGCGCTAGTTAATTCTCCAGGTAAACTACTCTTTTTGATTTCTTGGCCATTATTTACAGTGGAGCTTCTGAGATATGGAAGCTGGTTAGTCTTTATGGGGGGGAAAGGTGTGAATGTTTGAATCGATCTTCTTCCTTTTTTTCTGACAGATACATCTACCAGATTGTCTTGTTTAAGTTTCTAAAATATTGGTTAAAAAGCCCTATTCCAGCAGCAAGGCATGCCCAGTTAAATTCCTTGGCTTCTGTTTTCTGAATATTCATCACTGGCCAAGTGCTTCTGAGTATTGGAGGCACCTTGCACAGCAAGCAAGGTGGGCTGGGTAGAGACATGTCAAACTGTTGAATACAGAGTGATTTCATTTCTTTAAAACTACAGTTTTGAGAAATAAAAATTGGGAGATTTTGTTTATTTAATGCCTAGGGAAGTGACTGTGTGGATTTTCTAATATATTGGGGGGAATATGATTTAAAGCAAATCATAGTATTATTAGTCAGTGGCTATAAAGGGAACTTAAAACTCAGATAATAGTTATAAATTTAAAATCTGGAGGTTTCACATCACCATTCCCACTGAAGAAACACAGCCACCGCCACTGTGTTCACAGAGCTATCAAGAAGGCATCTCAACCTTTTTTTTGCAGTATTGTTCATTAGCAGATTGAAGCCTTCTGATATTGTTAATCTGAAGCAGTGTGCTGTTGTATGTCTCTGCAAGCTGTATCTGTATGTGAACTTCCCTGTAGTTACCTGTATCATGTTACTGCTTCACAGTGGCAGCTAAGGGGGGAGCAAACTTGCTTTTACTGATATAAATAGGTGATCGCCAAGTTCTGTTAAGTGTCCTGTAAAAATAACTATGCATAATGCATTTCTAGTAAAATATTACTACCTTGCAGCTTCCAGATTAGCATTTTTAAAAATTAGTATAAAACTCAGTAGCCTTACTGAATTCATACAGTTTCAAGTAATATTTCTTGCTAATCTGGTGGAATGGGATGTGAGGAGTTGAGAATACTTGTTCACGTCTCTAAAAACTAAGAAAATGGATTGTTGAAAGTAAGATGTGGCTTCATGATTATTTTTTAATCAAACTTTCAAATTTAAGACAGATGAGTATGGAAGTATTCTTGTGACCCTCAATTCAATCTGTTCACGGAATTCTTTATGCTTTTATATGTGAAAGTAATTTATTATTTCAGAAGGCTTTGGCAATAGTGGAAAAAGAATGGTTTATTAGTGTTATGTCTGTGGTGTTTATCTAATCAAATACCCTTGAAATATATGGCGAGATTTGTTTTTCAGTTGCAAGAGACCTTTATAATTTGATAATGATTTCAGTGACTCAGTCTTTCGAGGGCTGCAGGAAAAAACAGTTAATATGAAATTCTCTAGCTTGGATGTCTGTTTTGTGTATTTATATGATACTAATTGAAATTGTGCAGGGGGAGTTTGAGATTCCCCTATTTTATTTCCTTGTACCAATTAAAACCACCTGCTTTTGGCATCCCCTGCTCCTCACTGCCCTCTCGTGTGCAGCAGAGTGCTGTGGACAGGGTCGGCTGCCTGTCTAGGGGGTCCTTGCCCAGAAAAATTACTCTTTAAAAGGTGCTTGCTAGGTAGTTTACTAAGAACTTTAAGAGTCTGCCACAGTTAGCTTGTCAAATTTTGACAGCTAAACAAAATACACCTTGCGTTACACTTCGTTTTCCTTCTGTCAAGTTGCATTTGGCTTGTTCTCAGCTGCAGCAAAATTCTTTATGGCCTCGGGTGTGCGTGGCTGTTAAGTTCTGGATCAGGTTCTAACCCATGTTGTTCTCTTATGACTTAGAATTTCTCTTCAGGCTTACAGGAGAGTGCTCTCTACTTCACAGAGCGAATACTGTCATCTTTCAGCTGAAACAACAGAGTCTGGAGCAGTGGAGCTCCATATTCTGATTAGTAGCTTTCTCCCACCTGACTATCCAAAGGGTGCTGAAGATCACTCCAGAGATAATCTAAGGAAATTCAAAACACTGCAGTCTATTACAATTCTGTCTTCTCACAGAGCTTTAATTTACCACATGCCTGGCACCAAGTGCTTCAGGCTGTTTCATAATAGTATATTAAAATCAGAACACTCAAATTATATTACAGTTTTTACGGGCAGGAGGAGGATATCACAAGTACCAAATCATGTGTATTGAAATGTGATGTTCATTTAAAAGATACCATCACATAGGCCTAGCCTCTGTAGCGTAGTAGGGAGAGTATGAAGATCTAGATAAAATTATTTCGCTAGCTGTCTGCAAAGTATTAGGTAGGGTAGAAAACCTCTGAAGTCAAAGAATGAACAATGGTTATAATATGCAAAGGCTGTGATACTGCGTAAAGACTTCTTCCACTCACCTTTAAGACTTTCGGACAGGCTCAGTATCCACTTCAGAGGCATGACGCCTGCTCAAGTCAGGTCCAACATAAGATGCCTGGAGGTCTTTTAACTGTTAGAGGGTTTTTGAAAAGAAATCTGGCACGTTTGTTGTCTTGAAATACTTAAAAACACTTTGCAAAGAGATCACAGTATTGCTAGAACATCTTTATAATGATGTTATTACCTGGTAACAGAAAGTGAATGTTTAAGAATATATTTGTAACTCATCTGAAATCAAAATTAACTCCGTCAAATGAAATCTGTGTCAGATGAATGAGGCTCTAGATCAGTGTAAGGTGTTTTATTTTCAGTTGTATATAGAGTTAAATTGTGTGTGCAGGCTGTTTCTCTTTCAGAGATGAGCTAGCCACCCAGTGGCTTGCAGAATTCTTCAGGCAGCAAGCTGACTCAATTTTTCTCTTATTCCAGACTCAAACTCTTACACAATAGTCTGTTAATAGCAATATTAGATACTAGACAGTCTGTATTTAAGATTCTGACTTTGTCTGTTCCTCTGGCTGCTTGATTTGAGGAAACTGTTGGCTGCCTTATTCTCTTCTCTTGCATTTGCGTAGTAATCCCTGCTTTTTCTGTTGCTCATGCAGCCCTAGCCTCACTGTTTTCTGTTTTACTTAGTATTTTTGCCCCTTATTTTGTTTTTTATCCAGCTGCAAGGAGGAACACTGCAAGGGTTTTAAGGATGTGCACCACACATTTGTAGTAGTGTGAAACCTGTGGTTTGAAGTAATTGCCAACGTGGCTGCTCAAGGAATGTATTATGGCTGGACTACATGCTATAACTAGTATTGTTAATATAGCTCTGGCATTTGCCTCCTAACTGAAAACAGCTGTGGTCACCGCTGATGCAAAGAAATGTCAGCCCTTTTATAGCAATTTTTATTAGGCTTATTATGAAAATAGCTGTCTAGGCAAAATTACTTCAGAATATACTATTTTTAATACATACCTTTCATTTGATTCTAGTATGGATGTAGAAGTATTTGGGGTTAGTCCTCTGTTGCATGCTACCAGCTGCTTTCAAAGCTGAAACTGTTCTGCGGTTTTGCAGTGGAGCCTGGAAGCATTGACCAGGCAGCATTTGCCATATGCATACATAATCAAATTTGGCAAGACTTGGTGTGTTTCCTTGTTTTGCTTTGTTTGGATTTTGGGGTTGTTTTTTCCTCCTATCCCCTCTCTGTCTTCCCTAAGACTCCTCAGATGTTCTTTGTTCTGAAGAATCTTTCCCATAAATTGTGTTTTACTTTTCTTCCCACCTTAACTCAAAGGACAGAAAAGGATTTAAACAGAAGACCAAATGTGGTCTAGTATATTTTTGAATCGGTGCCTAGGAGCTGCTAAATGCTTATCTCTTGCCAGCTATTAATCACCAGGAAATGTTTCATGCTGAGCTTATTGTTACCAAAGAGTAAAGTGACAGTGGGGCAAAACATACACGTTTTAAATATGCTTTTACTTCAGGATGAGGTATTCATGTGTGTACTAATTTAGGTCCTAATTGATGTATAGCACCCATTGTTTTGGGGTTCTAATAAACTACTAGCCAAGCCCATTACCTGGTTCTGGTGAAGGGATTTTGGGCTTGGCTGGCTCTGTCTGAGAGGGAGAGGACCATAAATCTTACAGTTTTCGAACACCTAGTGATAAATTTTTCTTGAGGGTCCCACCCACCATGGTTCTACAGACTCCTGACTGTTGTGGTGCTTTGTCGTCTGCCTTACCACTTTGAACTTCTGAAACTCAACTCGTAACAGCTAATTTCATGTGAAGTCAAATGCTCATCTTCTAATTAGAAGGATCAAAAAGGCAATGTCCAGACTTTTTAGTTTGCTCTACACGCTTGTGATCTCAGGCCAATAGCCTTCAGGAAGGCTGAAATTCAGTCACAACTCCCTGGTCCCAAATCCTTGTCTGAGTTCCTGCCTTCGGTTTGAGCTACTGAAAATGGTTGAAGAGAGTAAGGCTGAAAATTCTGGGGGTTGTCTAACAGTTTTTTGTTTGTCAGGTGCTTACTCATCAGCTTCTGTTAAACACCTTTTGCAGCAATCTGTGAAGGCTCTGCTTGCCAAGACAGCTTTCCCATGGGTGACCATTTCCCTGTCTGATTTGTTTTTTGTTGTTTGCGTTTAAAGTACTTAAGTTACTGACCTTCCAGCATGGTATGACTAACTTCCTTCCTCTGTCCTGGAAGAATTTTAGCTATGATGACAAGTAAAAGAGAGTAACAAGGTAAAGACTGGTGTTAAGATCAAATTGAGTTAATGACTGGCAGACATGCATGCATAGTTTGTAATTTAAGGCTTTCATTGCACAGTACAGTATGCATCTGAATGGGATGCCTCTTACTATTGATTTAATGTTTGTCTAATGTGCAGCAATGCTTCAGCCTCTTCTTAGACTCATGAGGTTAATTAGATAACTGTAATCAAACTTGTTCCTCTTGTAAGTTGACTGATGTCAGTCTTGAGAGCAATTTGACTTCAGCTTAGGCTTCTGGTCTCAGAAACTATGGGAATATTTCAGGAAACTTCCATCTATTTTTCTCAGAAGATGTTTTCTCATATTCTACCCACTGTATAACCCTGAAGAGTTAGCTGCTTGAGAATTAATTTGAATCTCAGTGTTCTCATTCTTTATCTCGTGTAGATGAGGTACTGGTGTTATCCTTTGTACTGTTACTTTCAAGTGTAACAATTTTGTTTTCTGGGTGGTAAAGCTTTTTGAGATCAAAATTCCATGTGATGTAAATAAGGCCCGAGAAGGATGACAGCTGCAAAGGGATGTGACAGCTGTATGCTCAGCATCAGGTTTCAGGCAGGTTTAGCCAGCCAGCAGGAACTACTGATATAGTGACATACCTTATGGTATTACTTGCAATGCAGATGTAAATATTCCTTTAGGCATCTTGTATATACAGATCTGATCTTTAACCTGCCTTAAAAGAAAGATGAGCCTTGACATCCAAAATGCATGTGCACTTTTTCGAGTTCAGAAGAAAGTCTGGAGAGTTTTAAATTACTCGGCCTGTTCTGAGTCCTGCTGGCCTGTTTCAGAAATAAACACAGTAAAGAAGTTGTATGTCTTCTAATGTAAAAGAAACGTGGAAAAACAGTGATTCTTACTTTAAAAAGTAACCAACAAAATCTAGGTGCAAGAATGAAAGTGACTTTAGGACTGTTGATTAAATCAACTGTTTTCTACATATCGTACATATGACACTGCATATGATTATGCACTTGCCTTTCTTTAAGAACTGTGTAATGACCAAACACTCAATCAGTAAAAGGAATGGTTATGAAAAATGTTATTGCAGTCTATATCTTTCTGTCATTACCATAGGTCTGTCTCTTATTTTAAAAAAAAAAAAAAAAAAAATTTAGTCACAGAAGATAAATGGCACATGGATTTTAATTTAGAATACAACTTTTAAGAGCATTTAAGACAATGAAACAGCAAATGTGGGAATAAGCCAGTAGGAAAACAGCTTTATATGTAGGTGTGCATACTTTTCACTTAGCAGCTCTTTGGCTTTCACTGCGGTCTTAATGTAAAAAACTTGCTTCGGCACATTCTGTGTGAAAGCCTAAGCCAGAAAGCATGCATGAATGTTGTACTAGTTATTCTCATTTTAGCCTTATGTAGTAAAACTTCACTTCCCATCAGCTCTGTAGAAACATTAAATTTTGAGAGAGAAAGAAGGAGGAAAAAACCCCAACAAAACAAGCTAAAAGTCTTAATGCTAGTGAAGAAGCAAGTGTTGGTTGGAGTGCAAAACATAACCTTTCTTTCTCCCTCCACAGAGTTGAAAGATCTACTGACCAAGTAATCAAGCCAGTCAATGTGGAAGCATTGTCAAAGTGGGTTGGAAAGATACCTGCTGATGTCCTGCAAGATATGCCAGTGATTGCACCCATGCTAGCAAAACTGGGCTATGATCCATATGCTAATCCACCAAATTATGGAAAGCCAGATCAAAAAGTTGTGGAAAACACAAGGAGGGTAAGGCATTTTTGTGTGTTTAATTACTGACCAAATGGATGTGAACTGTAGAGTGGAACAGTCTTGTGATTTGTTTGGGTTTTTTAAAGTCTGTTTCTAATACCTTTTGATACTTAGCAATATGTTTTCCTTGCTGTGGGGGGAAGAAGGAAGAATTCTGCAGGACCTTGAGCACTGAAAGTCTGGCTCCTGCTGTTTGTCTTCAATTTGGTTCATCTTCCTTTACGCCAAGCCCAGACTTGAGCTGTGTTCTTTGGTGTATGTAGCTGAACCTCTTGAGAATCTTCCAGATAGTTGGGGAACTAGTTAGGGTTGGAAAAAAGCTAGCTTTCTTGCCTGGGGGTTGGCAGAAGCTCTGTCACAAACTTGCACCCCAAATACTTGGTAGAATTTGAAAAGTGACCCATGGAAAATGGCCCACGATGATAAAAATGTCAGATTTTCCAATTCTTTGCTGCCCTTTGTAGAACAAACAAAAGATGGAGGAAAGTCTGGTGCTGATTAACCTAAACTTAAGGATTTTAGTCTGAATTTAATGTTGTTGGAATTCGAGTAGTTAGGCTATACAGCTGTTTATCCCTGGAGGTATCCATTGAAAAGCTCATTAGCATTGTTTGAAATAAGAATGATTAACTCTTTACTTCTGTTTTTTTGAGAATGTATACTTTATTAAAAGAAGGTGACTTTTGCTGTAGCAGCAAAGTAATCATTGGAAAAATTGAATTAAACAATTTAAAAGGACTGTCTTCCACTAGCCTTCCAATATTACAAAAACTGGTTGGTATGCTGATGGGCTAGATACTAATGAAGAAAATAAATCGCTTTTTGTGAAGTCTCTAAACATTTTTGCATTATTTCTTTAGAAGCCCTCCCTGGGAAACTTTCATTAGACAGTTGATCAATGTATTAAAGGATGGCAAGTTGACTATTTTAATAGTTGTTAGTTCAGCATGGAAAAGATAATCCACCTTTTCTGGTAGGGGTAGTTTTTCTGGTAGGGTTAGCATTTTATAGGTTTCCCGGTACTTACTGTTTTAAAAGGCTTACAAACAAACTAACTTTTCTGCACTCAATTCAACCCCTTTAAAAAAAAAAAAAAAATGTTCAATACTACTTCATGGCGCCTTGAAAACAAAATCCTCATGCACCTACCCGTACATACTATAAAACAGTGACTCGGATCCAAATTTGTATTGTAGTGCAATAATTTAAGGTTGGTTATCTCTTACTGATAGAATTTAAATAAGTTTTTACAGTATGGTCACCTTTCTGAGGCCTCTACCTGTGCATCGCAAGCTCAGTCCGAGTTGTAAAGGTTGTATGGATTTCAGTTGCTTACTGTTGGGTAGCTTCTTGAAATCTATTTCAGTTCAAGATGCAAGAGAAAAATTCAGGTAACAAACAAAGCCCCAAGCACACATTTTAAAAAATTAAAGTCTAATTTTAAAATGCTAAAGTTTGAAGCTTTTTCACAAGTTTTCTTTGAAGCATAATTAGTTTGTTTACTAATGTTAAAAACAGCTGTGAAAAACTTGAGGTTACTGTTATAATAGCTGATCCAAATATTGCAAGCATATGGAACACTTGTTAATATTTTGACTGCTATTTTAATTTAATAGTTTTACTTACAGCCCAAGATAGGATTTTAATTTTATTTATTGTAGTACCCTGTATATATTTTCCTAGTCACTTGTTCTTTAACAAAATTACTTTTGCATTTATGATTTGTATAGATAAAATGAGGGAGATGTCCTAAATTAAGACTAAAATCCAAAAAAGCACAAGGATTAAAGATGGCTAATCTTCACAACTTAAAATATGCCTTTTGAAAATGGAGAAACATGGGGCTTTCAAAATGTCGTGTACCCCAAGGAGCCATTTAAAACGATGACTCAAATCAGTGTTCGAGTTTGCATTCGGGTGGCTTGAATTCCTCCCCAGTCACTTTGCTTTGTTTCCTCCCAGCTGGTTCCCAGCAAATCCCTGCTCAGACCATTGGGTCCTCTGTCTTTCTCTGTGACTATGGAAACATTCATGTCCTGACTTCCTAGGGTTTCAAGATTTAAGGCTTCCCAACTCCCAGACCAGTTTGCTGCTTAGGTTGCCTAAGTCTTAGGGCAGCAGGTTCATCACCCTCTCTAGAAGTGCCAGGCTTCCAGGCCATCGTCTATCTTGTTTAGTAAATTGCCAAAATGCTGGCCACTGAGCTTGGCCTTAAAACAAGTAAGTTTTGAAATAACTAGTGTTCTGGTTGGGGATCAGTGGGAGCTGACTCACTTCTGAAAAATGCTTTGTTTTGTTTTCCCCACAGCTTCATTTTGTTTTTATTTGGGGATGGGGGACAGATACTCCAAAATGCTTTAAGGTGTTTGGGAAAACTTGGCAGAGAGGAGGAAGGAGAGAGAGGGAGAGAGAGAGGGAACTGTGATGTGTTAGTTTTGCCCAGCAGGGATGCTGCCCCGTGGGTTTCCCCTTCTCTTCTATGAACCTATGCTAATTTATTTCTTGCTGCTACAGCTTGGAGAAGAGGGCATTTATTTAAAAAAAAAAAAAAAAAATTTCTTGATTTAGATTTTTCCAGCCTTTAGGAACTGGAACTTGACAGGTTAAGTGTGTTATTGCATACTCTTAGCTGGTGAATTTGTAAATTACTGTAGCACTACTTTTGTTCTTGTTACCTTTTAAAATTTCTTCACCTGGGATAGTCTTTCACAGAGTTTTGTACTGGGTATACTGTTGGAGATGAAGCTGTCCAAATAAAATCTTCCCAGAGTTACTCTTTAGTATATAATAAGAATCTATATGTAACTATGAATATTACATGTAACTGTTTGTTGTGCACTTTGTGTTTGGAAGCTGTTCTGTTATATGTGTATTTGTGGTCTCTGAAAACTTTAAGCACAGAACTCAAATTTTAGTCATTGAAAACAGATTGAAAAAGTTTAGACTTTTAAAGCTGAACTGTGTTGTGTTAGTATAGTAACACCTTAGAGTGGCTAACTTAAAATAATGTTGAATTATCTGACGCTTGCTACTCCAATAGTGTCGTAGTTTCTTAGTCCATTTAAAATGGCGTGAGCTAGCACTTCAGATGGAGGAAGTTGCCCGTCTGGCAAACAGAAAGCAATAGCAAGGGGGAAGAACTGATTTTTTTTTTTTTTTTTAAATTTTATTTTTGTTTTGTGTGGTTTTGAGGGGGAGAGTTTTTCAGTTTTGTGGGGTTTATGTAATGCTGGCTTAAATTGATTGTGGAAGTTGCAACAACAGGGTGGAAGCCCAACACCACTGAAATTCCTGGCAGGGGAGATTCTGGCTCCACCTAAAGATGGAACAACACTGTGTCATCTGGTTCACTGCTATCAGATATGTTAAAAAACAAACAAGTCAGTTCTTGTTATGGAGAGGAGTTCTTTTGTATGATTAAAAGCATTTTTATACCGTACTTACAAAATCATAAAGATAAGTGGAATGAAAATACGAAAATTGGTCAGGATGCTCATAGCCAGAAAGCCGCTTTTGAATGCAGACAGTTCAGTATTTTATGACTAGAAGTCTGTGTATTGCCCAGTTGTAGAAGATAATTTAAAAAGATCCCAAACTTTAAACTGCACGATGTCTTTGTTCTAAAACGTGCTTAAATGCTGCTTGTAGAACTGCATTTATACCACACTGCACTAACTGCTCTGAGCAAAATCTATCACTTCTTGGAAAAGACAACAAATTATACTCAACTACTTATACTCAACAGTGAAAATACTGTTCAGCAATTTGAAAGCTGCTGCTGTTAGTCCTGAAGGTAAGAACTGACAGGGTAAGGGTGCTTAAACCAAGGGCTAGCAATGGAGAAAAATGGAAAGGAATGGCTAGTGTGGTGCAAAATATTAGCTTCCCCAAGCTTTCTAAGCAGTTAAGTCCTGTTCTTGTTTTTCTTTTTCTTCTTTTCTGTCCCCCTGCCGGTGACTTGAATATGTACAGATTAAATATTTTTTTTTTTCTTCAGTCTGGAAACAAAATGATGATTCTCACCAGGTGAAGTACAATGCTCGAATTAAAGTTTCTATGTGCTTGTAGGTAATGCAAGGAAGACAATGCTCTCTGCTAAACTTGGATTTTTTTCACTTTAATGTTACCTGCCTAGGACACCAAAATGGTTAGGTTGGTTTTCCGTGCTCCTGTAATAGAGCACAAAAATAGTAAGATGCAACCAGTGTTTGTACTTTGTCATCTTAGTTCTGGTTTTGTTTTAGGAAGTAACAGAGCATAAAGCTAACTTCATCTCTTCTTATGTTGGTCTCCAAGTGCTATGTGGTGTTATGCAATAAGATATCTCTGGCAGTATCTGCACTGGTGGAGTACAAATCTAATACAAGTATAACATTTCTGATGTTTTAAATAAACAAAATGTTAAATGGCTTTGTTATCTGTTTTATGTTAGGCCTGACAACATTATCTTTTATGACACTTTACCTTGTCTTGGTTAAGGAACACAGAGCAGAGAGAACAAGGTCTGAATAGTGTTGCACTGTTCAGCAGATCTCTGCATGTGACCTCCTCCAGAGGCAACCTTTAGTTACTCAGTGACTGCAGAATTGTGCTATCTTGTGGTTTTCTTGTAAGTCTGTTGCTGATCTGTGCATTTTATTATGATTGCAAGGGTCCCTTCCTTACAGATACAGAACTGACTACTTTTTTTTTTCCCCCTAGAGTTTTAACAAATTCTACATGCGGAACATAAAGGAAAATAACATCCTGTAACTAAAAGGAGTTTTCATCTGCAAATGATGCAGAAAATGCAAATAATTAAGCTGTCTGAACTGGTAGCCCAATCACTATATGATGAATTACAAAAGTAGAATCACGCCACATTAGAAGAGTGTCTGATATGTCTGTATCAATATTGTCAGTCTGTGTAAAAGTGTATGTCAGCAGTTTAACAGAATATACCGAAAGTGGAGAACAGCTCATAACTGCAAGACTCTGACTTATGCCCAGTAGAAACT